TAAGAGGGGAGAGTTAAAATCATTGATCCCTCAAGTTGCGGTTCGAGGTGGGAAATGCAGGCCGTGGGAATACAGACAAAGCCTTATGCAGCTCCGACTGTGCATGCATGATCTCACGTGATTCTCACAACTGCTCTACGAAGTATCATTGACCTCATTTAAGCAGACAGGTTCAGAGAGGTTAAGTAACAGACACAAAGTCACCCAGCGAGAAAGCAGAGCTGGATTTGAGTCCAAGACTGTCAGAACCTAAAGGTGGGTCCTCAACCCTTACTCATGTCACCTTGGGTCACCGGGAGAGTGGGGCCTAAGTCTGGCTAATTAGGGGAAGGAAGCTCGGGCAGGACTAATTACACTCGATTTTATTCTTGGCTTTTGCAACACGATTAGCACTGCACAGGGGTGCCGGGCTCCTGGCCCCCAGCCAGCTGACCTAATTTGTGTGCCTGTGTCTGTTAACTTGCCCTTTCCCCCCATCCAGTCTCTCTCTTTCTGCCTGTCTGCATACTCCCCTGCTGTGTGGCCTTGACAATGCCACTTAACCTCTCTGGGCATTCACCGTCTCATCTATTGCATGGATGTAGTTACCCTCATGAGGAGGGTGAGGCTTACATGAGATAAGGACTTGGAAATAATAAGAGAAATTTTAACATAAACTAACAGTCACCACAGCTACATTGATTGATTCATTTTTTGCATGGCATTCGGTCCTGTGCTCAGCCCCTTCCCACAGCCGTGTTATGAGCTGCACAGTCTTATCGTCTCTATTTTACAGATGAGAAAACTGAGGTTTGCCTGACAGCCAATGGGCAGAAAAAGAGGGGCTGGTTCCTTCTGCTTTGCCTCGGTGCTGACCTGTTTCTCTAGGAAGGCTCATGGTGGGGTGGGGGCTGGGCACGGGAGACCCCAGACTCTGGAGTGGGTTCTGAGGGAGGATGGGGTGGGAGGGAGCTACATATCCCCTGCACTAAGGGTGAGTGATGAGCGGGAAGTGAGGAGACTTAGCTGACATCCAACTCATTCAGACCCTCACCCATCACAGCCCTGACCAGTGCTCCTGGGATGGAGGGGGCTGGGCAACCTGGGAGGTGACCTCCTTGCCCCTGGCCCAGGGAACCTCCCCAGCAGCTGCACTAAAACTCTAGGAGAGGATCGGTGGGAGTGGTGCAGAGTGAGGGGGCCTGTGGGTCACTGCTGGGTTTGGTCCCTTCTGGGTTGGGGGCCTGAGGTGCCTCTGTGGAGTGAGGCTATGGGTTATTTCAGAAGGGTATGGTGACAAGGGGACTGTGAGGAGAAATGGAAGTGGGATGTCAGTCCATTAGGAAGGTTGCCACATTTCATCCCGACGTGTGTGTGCACTTGTGTGTAGCAGAAGGAAAGTGCATGTGCGCGCATGTGTATGTGGAAGGAACTGGATGCAGGTATTGTGGGCCTGTAAGTGGCGTGTGAGGTGGGGTATAGTCTGCTGGGGCGGCTTCAGGGAGGGACAATAGGCCGCTTACATGTGGAGCAGGATGTTGGGAGTACTCTGTGTGTTGGGTCCTGTGCTCAGCCCCTTCTCCCAGAAATGCTATGAGTTGCACAGTTTTATCACCGTCATGTGCTGGCGCGTGGGTGTGGATGTTGTGCGGGTGTGGATGGCTGTGGGTGTTGCTGAGCTGATGTCGTGCAGGGGGTGAGGGGCAGCTGCAGGGCACAGATGTATGAATTCAGCCCTGGATGAGCAGTGGGTCTGAGTTGGCCCAGGAATGTCCAGGACAAGGGTTTCAGAGGCAGAGGAACCATGCTCACCTTTGGATTCTAACCTCTGCCTCAGATCCTGCATCTGTGGAATGGGGATGATCAAACCCTGGGCGGTTGTGATGCTTAAAGGAGGCTGCACAGGTGACATGCTCCCAGCGCCTGGCCTGGGGCTAGCCTTCAGCAGCAGTGGGCAGAGGTCTCTAGAGGGCCTTGGGAATGCTCAGCGGCTCTCCTGGGACTAGATGCTCAGACCTTCAGGCGCCATTGGGGGAGCCACTGCTTGGTGTCCCCTCCCGAGATTGGTTGTGGCCAGAAGCTGAAGGTTCCGTGCTTCCACCGGGCACAATCACTGTGTCTGGAGGGTGTGTGGGGTGCAGCCTAGAGGGAAGGTTGTACCCAAGTTGTGAGACTCATGTCTGAGTCAAAGGACGCACCTGCCAGGGGCGATCCCTAGGAGTGATGTGTGTTTAGGGAACATACGTGTTCGTGGTGGTGGGTCTGTGCTGTGGGCTTTGGTGAGGTGAGTGTGGCGCATGGGGTCAGGAGAGTTTGCTGAGGTTTGTCGGGGCATCCGTGGGGTATGTGGTGAGGAAAGGGGTGTGTGTGCCTGTGAGTACCCTGGGGGCAGGTGTGTGTGCAGTAGAGGTGAGGTAGATGGGTGTGTGCTGGTGTGGATCAGGCTGAATTGCCTATAGGCTGTGGTGAGTTTACACATTGTGGTGGGTAAACATAATTGTGTGTGTGTGTGTGTGTGTATGTGTGTATCGGGGTGCATGGTACATGCATGAGGATGTTGGGCTGTGTGTGTGTGTGTGTGTGTGTGTATCAGTTGCATGGTATATGCATGAGGATGTTGGGCTGTTGTGTGTGTGTGCGCGCGCATGCTCGTGTGTATGTGTGTGTATCTATTGAGGTGCATGGTACATGCATGAGGATGTTGGGCTGTCGTGTGTGTGTGTGTGTGCGCATGTGTGCGTGCACATGAGTTAGCATGTGCTTGGGGTTTTGGAGGCCTCCTATCAGGCATTGGGGGGAGTTGTGTTTACCTGGAGGGGGCACAGTGAGGGTCAAGGAGAGGCTGGCAGGGTCCTGGGGCTTTTGGATTCAGTTCTCCTTTAAGGGAATGGCATAGATAATAATGCTTATTATGCATGGATTATGCAAATGCAGAGGTCGTTTGGGGGTCAAAGGCTGCTTGTCACCCTCCTCCTCAGGCATTCCGTGACTCCTAAGGCTTTCGCTGCTGCCTCCCAGGCTCCATTCCCCACCCTCACTTCTCTGTGCCCACTGGGAGTCACAGCTACCAGCACCCTTCAGTAGTGTTCCTGCGAGGGCCTCACGGAGTCCTGGCACGCATACCTGCAGGTCCCAGGTGTCCATGCATTAAGTTCCTGCTGAGCATCCCAGGTGGGCTCAGGGGTGACTGGGTTATTCCTCCCCCTGCCCGTCCTGCAACCTGCTTGCTGTTCTGAAAGAATGTGCTCTTGGACCCAGGTTTGGAAAATCACTGAGGTGGCCCCTTCCCCAGCTTGCCTCATCAGCGTGAGGCTAAATTAGGACGTGCAAGTTCTCCCCCTCTGCCCTCCACCCTTGCCTTCTCTTGCTCTTTCCTATCTGCCAGCACACCCTCCCTGTCTCTGCCCCCTCTGCCCCCGGCCTCCCTCTGTCCTCACCTCTCTGTCCCTGTCTCTGTCTCCGCCTCCCTCCTCCCTTTCATCCTCTTAGTTCCCCCATGATCTCTCCCTCTCTTGCACCCCCCATCTCTGTGGGGAGCTGCAGCTCCTGGTCCTTAGCATAGAGAAGATGGTTGTCATGGTAACGGTTGTCATGTCGATGGCTACTGAGCTGGGGATGAATAGTATCTAGGTGAGCGCTACCTGAGTGGAGGCTGATGGGTTTGCAGGAGGCTCGATGCTTGTCTCTGATCAGAACCACACAGCAGGCCCTGCTCCCCCTGCCCCATGCATGTCGCCGTTTGTACCCACAGGCATGCCGACACAATGCGCCTCTGTGGCTGCCTTTAGGTGAGCATGTGTCAGTGTGTGTCTGTACACGTGCTGTGTCTCTGGGGTGTGTCATTTCAAGGGTCTGTGTAGCTTAGGGGCAGGTCTTTGGGTTTGTGCAGGCTTTTCTTGGAGCAGGAAGTTAGGGGCTAAGTGTCACTGGTCACCGAGGAATCTTGGGGACTCCCTTGTTTTAGCACCCACATTTACCTCAATTTGGGGCTTCCAAAGACCACAGACCTCTTAGAATCCCTCCTCCCAGCTTAAGGCCTCCCAGCTCCTGCCCGGCCTGCCTGGAAGGATAGATAGTGAAGACAGCCCCAGGCAGGGGCAGGAGTGGAGCTGGGTCCCTGCTCAGTCCCCATGCTTCTGAGTGACTCAGGCTGCTTGCCAGAGAGCTGGAGGGAGCAGGGACTCACGGTTGGTTGGCTCAGGTTGTGGAGGGGAGTGGCATGGGGAGCTCTAGCTCCTCCATGCTGGGCATTTGTCTTTTTGGGAAGAGAAGACCTGGCGGAAAGTTGGGTCCTACTGCTCGGAGCTCCTGGAACATCTAAAAAGGAGGAAGACCCAGCAATTCGTCATGGGAGCAATTACACTAACTGTTCCACTCCATGACTCACTGGTAGAAAGTAAATACTGATTAATTCATTACTTCGAGACTATGCGTGTGTATGCATTTGGTGAGGGGCACCTCCTGGCTGCCTGCCCTGGCTGGGCTGGGCAGGACTCTGGAGCAGGTGGTCGAGACTGGGGATATGAAGACAGGATTGAGATCCCCACTCTGGCTCTGTATCAACTCCAGAAGCGGGGGGACATCAGTGTCAGGGGGTGAGAGGCTGGTCCCCAAATGCAGTGCTGGTCCAGCCCCTCCCCTGCTCACGCAAACCCCAGGGCTCCCCACAGCCAGTCCAACATTGCAGATGCTTAGAGACCACCTCAGACCTACTCAACCACTGAGTTGAGTTTTCACAATATTCTGATATGCAGTCAGGATGAAAAATGACCAGTTTCCAAGAGAAAGTCATCAACCAGACACTGAAAGCCTTCTGGGATGGGGCCCCAGGTGACCTGCCTCTGCCCCACCCCTGCCCTGTGAATTATTCACACACATGCACTTTCCTTCCCGGTACACACAAGATCTCTGTCACCCACTTGGATGTCACTCAGCCCACAAGGGCACCTGCCACCCCTCTCGGCACACCCAGGCTGCCAGTCTTGGGTGTCGAGCCCTGTGTTTGCCTCTTCCTTCCCCAGGCCCAGCGCTGGCGCAGTGAGAACTTTGAGAGGCCCGTGGACCTGGAGGGCTCTGGGGACGATGACTCCTTTCCCGATGATGAACTGGATGACCTCTACTCGGGGTCGGGCTCTGGCTGTAAGTACGCCCTCCCTACCCCTGCCTGGGGGCAGTGACCAGTCTGCATCCAGAGCCTACTCTGAGGAGCCCACAGGGGCTTGCTTCAGTGAGGCGGGAGCACATTACTTTATGGGTCAGGCAAGTTCTGGGGCAGGATCCCCAGAAAAGAAGGGCAGACATCCTTCTGGGGATAGAAGATGGCCTGGGAGGACCTCTGGGCCCCAGCCGCCCAGCTCTCCAGGGGCTCCTGTCTGCATCTCTGTGTGTGCCGCGTGGCTCTCTCTGCAGACCTTGCTTGGTTTGGGTGGTCCCCTCAGGTCCAATAAGCTGTGGCCAATGGTGAGGTTAGGGCAGCAATGGCACAGGGTGGGCAGGTGCTTCAAGCAGTGCCAGGGATGGCCCTGCCCTGGGGAAGAGGAGCCAGGCCAGGTGGGTCTAGCAGAGTCTCGGGAGGGAAGGGTGCTGGGAGCCCCACTCTGCCACTTAGCAACTGTGTGCCTCTCGGTGCTCCCCCCACTGAGTCCCTGGATTCTTACCTGTGGATGGTGAGAAACACACTTTCCTCTCAGTGCCTCTAGAAGGGTTTGGGATAGGAAGTTGGGATCTGGCACAGAGGAGAAGCTCTCAAAACAGTAGCAAAAAGAAGGCAGCTGAGATTGGGCCCAATGATGGCATGGACTGGCATCTGATGAGATGTACAGAATCTGCATGCCACAGAGCTGGCTCCCCAGAGCTCTCGCCCCTGCTCTCCCCTCCTCAGCCCAGTCCTTTGAGCTTCTTCCAAGTTAATCTTTGTAAAACCCATTTCCGTTGGGTCACATCTCTACTCAAAAAACTCCCCGGCTCCCCTCCCTCCTGCCTGGTTCTGAGCCAGGGAGCTGGCTGTGGCTTCTCTCTCCCCCAGCCCCCACCCCTCTTATCTCATTTCCTCTCAGGTTCCTTCACTGTCCTGGCTTTGCATCAGCCAGATTGCCCAAGCAGTTCCCTTGTAGCAAGGGCTTGTTCTCCCTCTTAACCCTCTGCCTGTGCCTCTGGGGGAAGCCCTTAGTGTACCACTCCTTCCTTGAGCTCATGATAGGGGTGACTTTGGGGTCTGACTCTTCCCAGAATGCCACTCCTGTGCTCCCCTGCAAGCCCCAGCAAGATTTGCAGCCAGTAGCACTTCAGTTGCTCTGCCTAGATTCAACCTCACAGAAGTGTAGCCTGGGTGAGCAGGAATAGTCAAGGAGGGCTTCCTGGAAGAGGTAGCCTCCAGAAGAATATTTGACTTGGCAGAGAGAAGTTGGGGAACATCAGCAACTGGCTACCTCTGGCCAGGCTGCGCCTTCCTCCTTTATCTTTTCTGGGAAAATTGAGCAAAGAGAGGGGGTTGGGAGCTCTAATCTTGATGGCCATTGCTTACCTGGGATCCTCATGCCCCTCACAACCACCCAGCTCCCTAGCTCTCTCCCTCTCCCCCACCCCCTCAGACTTCGAGCAGGAGTCAGGCATTGAGAAAGCCATGCGCTTCAGCCCAGATGTGGCCCTGGCAGTGTCCACCACACCTGCAGTGCTGCCCACCACGAGCATCCAGCCCGTGGGCACACCATTCGAAGAGCTCCCCTCTGAGCGCCCCACCCCGGAGCCAGCCACCAGTCCCCTAGAGGTGACAGAAGTCCCAGAGGAGCCCAGCCAGAGAGCCACCGCCGTCTCCACCACCATGGCTACCACTGCTGCCACAACCACAGGGGCCCTGACTGTGGCCACAGTGCCTGTCACAGTGACCACTGCTGCCCCCAGCACCCCTGCAGCACCCCCTGTTACAGCCACCACTGCTGTTGTAAGGACCACCGGCGTACAGAGGCTTCTGCCTCTTCCACTGACCACAGCAGCCACGGCACGGGCCACTACCCCCGAGGCGCCCTCTCCCCCCACCACGGTGGCTGTCTTGGACACTGAGGCACCAACACCCAGGCTGGTCAGCACAGCTACCTCCCGGCCAAGAGCCCTTCCCAGGCCAGCCACCACCCAGGAACCTGACAGCCCTGAGAGGAGCACCCTGCCCCTGGGGACCACTGCCCCTGGACCCACAGAGGTGGCTCAGGTGAGGGTGTTGGGAAGGGACAGGGAGGAGGGCAGGGGGGTGGGTCAGGGGAGGGATGAGGAGGGAGGAAGGAGCTGGGCAGGACTGAGGACCAGGAGACTGTAGAGATGAGCCAGACAAGGTGGGGGTGAGGGGCAGGACCAACGGACAGATCAAATGGGGAGGGAAGAGGGACAGAGGTGGTTGGATCCTAATGGGACAGGACATTGGTGGGGAAGGAATTGGGTGTGTGCAGTGGTGACAGGGAGGGCCAGGCCGTGTGTTCTGGTGGAGAGCATTAACTCAGCGATCTGGCAGCTGGATTCAAATCATTCTGCTGCCACTTCCTACTTAATGGGACCTCAGGCTGGTCCCTGATCCTTTCTATACCTCTGCTTCCTCATCAACGGAAAGGAGAAAACAATAGAATGTGTATCATTTCATTGTGAGCATGAAATCGCCTGACATATCCGCAGTGCTCCTGACATATCTAACAGCCCTGGTGATGGTAGACCCACTAGGTTCTCAGCTGCTGTCATCATCACGGTTGTTATTACCATTGGTCTAAGGGTGGTTGAAGCAGGGTATGTGAGTATGCACCACTTGCCTGGCGGAGGGCTGCCTGGATGTGGCTCAGCGCTCAGCCCACCCCTCAGGCTGTTAGCCTCAGCTTCACACCCACCCCTTGGGCGGCACCGTGGTCATCTCATTTTACAGGTGAGGCAACTGCCAGTACACAGGGAGGAGAAGCCACTTCCCAAGGCTCCCCAGCTAGTGGTGACAGTCAGGATTTGAACCCAGGCAGTTGGTACCAGAGCCTGGCAGTCTCGCAGGGCCGGGGCTGCATGTGTGTGTGTTTGGGATATGATGGACGGGGTGAGGGATTGATGGGAAGGGGATGAAGATGTTAGGACTGCCAGGGATGGATGGATGAATCCCAAGGACATGAGAGAAGTGGCCTGGTCCCTGCTGGGTACACTGAGTCAGATGGAAAGGTACTAACAGGGCCTGGGTGCCAGAGCTCCCTGCAGCTGGCCTCACCAAGGAGGGCCCTTGGGCCATGGAGCTGCCTTAGGGTCAATGTCAGCCCCCACCCAGTCCAGCAGGATGCAGGCCCTTCCCTTGCCTCCTCATGCAGCTGGGAAAGCCTGGCGTTTTCACACAGACTTGGCCAAGCAGGAAAGGGAAACAGTGACGTGGCACGGCGCCCAGGAGAAGGCGCATGGAGCCCAGGTTGCGGGAGTAGCCACGGTGCACACGGTGGACACTGGGGCATGGCTGCAGCTTCTTTTCAGCCTGGACACCAGATCCACCCTTTCCATGCCCACCTGCAAAGCAGCCATGACCCTGCTCCGATGGCTCCCACAGCCCCCACTTTGGTCTCATGATTCCCAGTTCTGATCCTGCCTCCGAGTGGTGGGAGCCCCAGAGATTGGCAGTCACTGAGCTGGTTTCCTGGACACCTGCCCCTGACACCATCATACTCTGCAGGCTGTGGTCTTAGACTGGCCTCCAGGCTGCAGGACGTGCCCCTGCCTCAGGCATGGACCAGGACCAGGCCCAAGTTGACAGCAGCTGCACCCAGCAGTTCCCAAACAGCTTCTCGGCAGGAATCCCCTGAGGATTGTTACTAAGGCAGCTGGAGGGGACATGATGGGGACAGGATGTGGCCGAGCAGGAACAGAGGCAGTGTGGTAGTAGTTAGAAACACAGACTCTGGGGGCAGATAGATCTGAATTTTAGTCCGTCCCCCACTTACTAGCTATATGTCCTTGAGCAGGTCATTTATGCTCTGAGCCGACTTCCTGCTCTGTAACCTTGGGGCGTTGTTACCCTCCTTCGTGGGGATGCTGCATAGCACAGGCCTGGCATGCAGGGAGTGCTAAGTGTTAGCCCCAGGGCAGTAGGATGGTGGTGGGGGGTTATGCATGCAATTGTGGTCACCCTGTGGCGGGGGGGTGCTGCAGCCTGACTCCTGCATTCATGCCACCCTCTCTGCAGACCCCAACTCCGGAGACCTACCTGACCACAGTCCGGGATGAGCCAGAGGTGCCAGTGAGTGGGGGGCCCAGTGGAGACTTTGAGCTACCAGAAGAAGAGACCACACAACCAGACACAGCCAATGAGGTGGTAGCTGTGGGAGGGGCTGCGGCCAAGCCGTCACCTCCACCTGGGACACTGCCCAAGGGTGCCCGCCCAGGCCCTGGCCTCCTGGACAATGCCATCGACTCGGGCAGCTCAGCTGCTCAGCTGCCTCAGAAGAGTATCCTGGAGCGGAAGGAGGTGCTCGTAGGTGAGGCTTGGGGTCTGGGCCAAGGGGAGCCTGGGAGGCAGCTAGCTGGGCCTCAGTTTGCCTCTAGGAACCCAGAAGGGAGATCAGGGCGTGGTTTCCTAGGAACCAATAGGAAGGAAAGCTGGGCACTCAACCCCCCAGGACCTGCCTTCTGGCTCCTCCCCTGACTCTCCTCCTTCCCAGTATCCAACCCTGACTTCATGTCCACCTCTAGGTCTTTTCCTCAGTGCTCTCTGACCCCTGCGTGGACTTTGACTTTGATCCCCGCTTTCCTGGGCTGCACTGGCTGACCCCTGCGTGGACTTTGACTTTGATCCCCGCTTTCCTGGGCTGCACTGGCTGACCCCTTGGGACCTTACTTCCTAGATGCTAATCTCTGACCCATTGTTCAGCTTAACCTTCCCCAATTTTTGACCCCAGTCCCTGTGGACTTGCCCTGGCCGCATCTAGGGAGTCTCTGGACTCCTGGTCCAAATCCTGGCGTTGCGCTCAGGCAAGGTACTTCACCTCTCCAGCCTTCCTTCCCTTCATCTGTAGATTGGGGTTAGTCATTTTGCCCTTAATCAGTTCTAAGAGGCACATCTGTTCACATGTTAATTCTTCTGTAATTGGGGTATATCATATTTCTTTCTTTCCTAGCAGTTATAAAATATTGAGGCATCTTATGACTGATGGCATTTTAAATTTGCTGAGGATCTCAAATGACCCCTTCCTGATAGGGCTGGGATGAGGGTTCAGTGAGTTAGTGTGTTAGGTGATTAGAACGCAGCCACTGAAGTCCTATAAATGGTAGCCAGTGCTGGGAGTAGTAGTATTGACTCCATCTCCACTCCGACTCAGATCCAGGACTCCCAGCACTCTCCTCACCCTGGTCCCTGTCCCTGAGGACCCTCTGCCCTGGTTCTACCCTGCCTTTAGGCCATGACCTCTCTGCCCTCTCCCTCCACAGCTGTGATTGTGGGCGGGGTGGTGGGTGCCCTGCCTTTGGGCCGTGACCTCTGCCCTCTCCCTCCACAGCTGTGATTGTGGGCGGGGTGGTGGGCGCCCTCTTTGCCGCCTTCTTGGTCACACTGCTCATCTATCGCATGAAGAAAAAGGATGAGGGCAGCTACACACTGGAAGAACCCAAGCAGGCAAGCGTCACATACCAGAAGCCTGACAAGCAGGAGGAGTTCTATGCCTAGTGGAGCCGCAGTGCCTCCCTGCAGCCTCAGCACCACCCTGCCGTCCAGTCCCCAGCCTGGCCCCACCAGTCCCAGCCTGGGACTGGGCCTGGAGCCTGGCCCCAGTTCTTCTCTGCCCTCCCTCCCAAGGCCTGCCCAGGCTGCCAGCCTCACACAGATCTTCCCTGAGGAACAGGGGCTGCTGCCATCACTACAGACTGTGCCCTTACAAGCTCAACTCTTGTTCCCCTCATCCCTGCCACCAGTCTGGGGCTTCAGGACCTCATGTCAGATGGATGGGAGGAAGGAAGCTCCTGATTGACTGGTGGAAAAAAGAGTGGGGCTCGAGATGGGCCTGAGCCCCAGCTTGGCCCCTGCAGAGCTCACTAGGATCTCCATTTTGGGGCAGAGAAGGACTCAGGCTGGTTTCGAGGACAAACATTCGTCTGTCCTTGAAATCACATAGACACTGCAACCTCTGGCATCTATCCCACAGCCTCTCTCTGCCTGGGTGAGAGGGTGTCCCTTGTCACCAGCCTGTTTTGTCCCATCTTTCTGGGGTTGCTGAGTCTCTCCTCTTGCCTGCCAAGTACACATGCATCCCAGACTTCATTTCTTTCTGCATCTTCCCCTACAGAACAGCTTCCTGAGAGTGCCGGGGCAGCCACTGGTGACGAGAGGCTGCTCTGCTGTCTCTCCCATGAGGGGACTCTGCACGGACATCATTGCCCACACTGTCACACATATTTTCATGCAGTCACACACCAGACAAAAGCATGCAATGACAAAACCAGACACAATCCTGACTGCCCAGCCAATCAAGACATATCACAGGACACACACGTCCCTCCAAGAATGTTATCCTCTCTCATCACTTACACACCCCCAGACTCTAAGTACAGTGCAAGTCACTAGTCATGGTCCGTGACAGTGACAGTGTGGCCTCCTCCTGCCCCCAGCACACCTACACTCTGGTACCACACACATTGTCTCCTGCTTTCAGGCTCACTGGGGGAGGGTGGAATTGAGCCAGAACAATCAGCCCATATTGGGTCTCCTGGAGTTGTCCCGTCATACTCAGTCCCATGCCATGGTGCCCACACCAACCATATGGCCACCGACCCCAGCTGGTGTCAGACACAATCCCGTGTGGATGCACAATCTCATGCCACATGACCTGCTCTCAGTGCTGGAGGGAAACAGGCCCTTGCCTTTCCTGGAAAAAGTGTGGGGCCACAGCCCTTTCAGGGCATTGCATGCAGGTGGGCCTGGCTTCACCCCTACCTGCTTCCTCCCCACTGCAGTTGGCAAAGGGGGAGGTTTGGGGCCAGCCCTTCCACTGGCTGGGAGCCTGGGGGCTCCTCTAAGGCTGAGGAAGGAAATTTGACCCCAGACTGTGAGGGGCTCTTGGGTCTTCCAGGACGGAAGACCCAGGGCAGGGAGGGGGCATGTGGATGGGCTCCTTCATTTCCCTGTTACCCCTTCCTGCTCTGAGATAGGGGGCTGACTCTGCCTCCCAGGACACAAGTCTCCAAAGTGCCTGTGAGGGCGGGCCCTTCGCACCCTCTGCCCTCTGCCTGCCAGGCCAGCCTCAGCCCACCTGCCCGGGGCCCACCCTGTGGACATCCCCTCACCTATTTGGCCAAACAGTTCTGACTGCAGCTTCAGGGCCCATGGCTGGAAGCAGCCCCTGAAGATGCCTCAGGCCAAGGGCAGGGTTTGAGGGATGAGACCAGGTAACAGTGGGGGAGGTGTTACCTCCTTTGTTACCTAGCAAGTATTTTAAGTGTGGGGTCACAGATCTTTGGGGAAGGGTGTGCTTGGCAGGGGGCCTCCTTGAGCCAAAGGGATAGATGTGAGTTGTGATTGGCTGGCACTCACACCCCCACCCCTCACCCACAACCCAGATTCAAGTCAGGAAGGCAGGTTGTATTTCAGGGCCCTTTTCAAGATGCCCTGGCAGCAGATTTCTGCAGGGTGAGGGGTAGCGGAGTGTAGGCAGTGAGGGTGAGGTTCTGGGGGCTGTCTGTTCCCGGCTGGACTCCATCTTCAAGTCCCAAAACCCTCCTTCTCAGGGCCCAGAGGCTTGTGAGGAAGCCAGGTGGCCCCAGCCTTAGAAGAGTGGGCATGGGGGGCCCCCAAGATCTGGAGGAGGTGGGTTGGCCTCAGTCATCTTTGGAGCAGAAGGGCTGGGTCCTAGGAGCAGAGACCACAAGACTGTCTCCCTCCTCCCTGGGGTGCTGCTGTCTTGGGGACTACAGCTCTGGTGAGACGGCCTGGGCAGGCCGAGGCTGAGAAACCAGGGAGGAGAGAGGAGAAAGGGCTTGGGCCTCCAGCCCCAGAAGATGCTGGCCCCTGGGCGGGAGACTCAGCAGGGAGTGCAGCTTCTGTGTAGGGCTGGAGCCTGGAGCCTGTGGCAGGGGTGGCCCCAGTCAGCCTGGTTCCTCGCATTCCCAGGGGTTGGCTTCTGATTTGGGGCTTGAGCCCCAAATGCTATCCTTAGCATTTGAGAGAAGAGGCCAGGGGCCTTGTTCATGGAGCGGGTACTCACCCAAGGCAGATGTCCAGGCTTTATCCTTGTGAGCTTGAAGAGTCTGACCAGCCATATCTGCCCTGGCTGGCCTGACCAAGGCAAGGCAGTCCGAGAGAGAGTTCAGTGAGGGCAAGCTGGGGCTCTCTGAGGTGCAATGTGGGTGCAGGGTCCTCATGTGCCCCAGCCCCCACCTGTGATAGGGTGTCCTGAGGGGCTTTGGCATTTGCCGGAAGCACAGCGAGTTCCAAATGAGAGGGAGCTTGTGTGGCTTGAGAGCCTCTGGGGCCCTGGCTGCCAGAGCACGAGGAGGGCCGGGACCTTGAGAGCCCAGGCCCTGTCTCCAGAGGGCCAGATGGGGGCCTCGCCTGAAAAGCTGGTTCCCTTGATCTCTGGAGGTATGTGGGTGGCAGCCAGGGCTGGGCAGGGCTTAGGCTGTGTGGGCCAGACCCCCCTGGAGTTGGCAAAGCTTCCTGTCAGGCCTCCAGGTGGGGGCCCTTGGACACAGGGAGCAGACCCTTAGCCTCACCAGGAGTGGCTGCCTCCCAGGTTCTCTGAATTTCTTCTTCCAGTAACTGCAGCCCTGGACTTGCCTCCTCAGGCCTCCTGCCTGTAAATAGAGGCCCACAAACTGTACAGATTTACAGAGGCATCAAGACTGGCCCTGGGAGTCACCATCTGAGGGCCAGTGGCCCCAGCATCCCCAGGTGCCTGCCTGGCATCGCAGTGCCCCTGGCCTCAGCGTGGCAAATGCATGTAAATATTTTTTGTAGGCAGCGTGGCTCCAGAGAGCCCCCTGAAGACAGTGTCCCTCCCTCCGGTGAGTCCTCTCCTGTACAGAACTGGCCTGGGGTGTGTGCGGGTCTGCTGTCCCTTCCCCCAGGCCTTCCCTGTCCCTTCTCTCCCCTATAACCTGTTTATTAACCATACCTGTCCTGAGTTCATGGCCAAAACTTTAAATAAGGAAAAGCAAAGGAAAAAAAGACAGTGGAGAAAAGAGACCAGGGCACCTGCCCCGCTGCGGGTACTCACCTGAACCAGCCTTCTGAAGGAACTGGCTTTTTTGTTTTTGTTTTTGTTTTTTTAACACTTCCCGTGCTGTGCCCATTTATAAGAGGAAATAAAATTAAGCTGAAATAATGTGCCGTGTCCAGAGTATGAGATAAATATGGTCATTTGGGGAGGGCAGCCCGTGGCTGCACCCTGGGCCCCAGCCATCTGCCCCCGTCAAAGAAATTGAGAACCAAGCAGGGAAAATTGACTAACAGCTTCTCGTGGGAACCATTATGGTAAAAGCTGCTGTTGGTTGAGAGCATTCAGGAAACCACAGAGCTGCTGCGGTGAGGCTGGGGTGGGGCTGTGGTTGGGAGGGGACAGGCAGTGGTGAGAGGGGCCTGTGCTTCACCACCAGGGGAAGAACTCTGGCTTTAGGCCACAAATAAAAAATCTTGGGACCACAGGATACCAGAATCGGAGTAGCCAAGACAGAGCCCCAAGGCCCAGGACCTCACTGTGGGACCTCAGACAGTTTGACACCTCAGTGCCTCAGTCTGCACGGCTATAAAGTGGGGTGAAGGGGCCAGATGCCACTGGGAGGTCCTCATAGAGGAATGAGCCAGTGAGACACCTGCTATGATGTGGGGGGTTGATTTACCTAGATTCAAAGCCAAGCATGCATGGCTGTTCATGCAGGGAGCTTCAGAAGGCAATGCCCGTCTTCTGAGTGCTGTCAGCCTCCTACCCTTCTCCCTCCTACCCTTCTCCCCCATCTCGAATTCTAGTGATGTGATTTTATTTTCAGCTTGGAGGAGTAGAAAGAGCATTGTCTTGAAGTCAAGCAGACCCTTTGCTCTATGTCTCTGAGCCTTGGTTTCCTTGAAGGCAAATGGGGACAATAAGGTTGGTATTTGGAGGCATGAAGCATGGCAGATATGCCATCTGTAGCTGGATTTATATTCTTCTCTTTGCATCACCTACCTCATACCAGGCAAACCTTTATCCAAATCCTAGCTCTGTCAGTGACTAGCTATGTGACCTTGGGTAAGTGATTCAAACTCAGTGCTCAGTTTCCTCACCTGTAAAATGGGGGCAATACTAGTACTGGCCTCATAAGCATAGTGCTTAGGACTGTGGCAGGCATACAGTAGGTGCTGTACAAATGTGGGCAATTATTACTACTGTTGTTGCTATCATTATTACTGTTATTCTTATTTGCAGGGCCCAGCACAGTGCCTATTGATTGAATCAGTGACACTGAGCTTGGGTAGCAATCAGACTATCAGGGTCAGCTCTAGTGTGAACTATGACTTAGGCTTAGGCTTGTTAGAGCGAAGGGCAAGAGCCTGCACGTGGGCTGGGTGCTGCATCTTGGAATATTTCCCTCTGGGCCCCTCACCCAAGATATGAGCAACAAAACCAAGAGGGAAGGAGGAAGAATAGCTGATTGTTTCCTGCAGCCCAAGAGTCACAGCCACCCGGCCCAAGCTGCCCTGAGAACAGAGTGTGCTCAGCTTCCAGGGCCACCCACCCTGCCTCTGCTGGCCTGAGGCAGGGCTCAGGGCCGACGAGGATCCAGGTTTATCACCACCAAATAACCAGTAGGGATGAGAGAGGGCAGACGGCTAAAGGAATGGGTTGAGGCACTATGCCAAGTACCTCATATTATGTTAGCTCATTTAAGCCCCAGGTCTGGGCTCCTGGCCTGTTTTTGCAAATGAAGCAACTGAGGCTCAAACAGCAGAATCCCAAAGCCCTAGAGCAACTGGAAGGTGCAGTGGGATTCTGCTGTCTCCTCCCTGCCACGAGCTAGCTGTGAGGATGGGCAGGTTACTAAGCTTCTCTGAACCTCAACTATATCATCAGAACAACAGGAGCACTTGGTGTTACTGAAATGCTCTAATGGTGCATTAACACATGCCATTTGTGGGGTGCCTTCCAATTAGCATCATTCATTCATAGACTATTTAATTCTTGGGGACAATTTTTACCCCTATTTTATCATAAACAATGTGTTTATGATGAATACATTGGCCCTATCAGCAAAATCCACACTGTGGGACACTCTGTAGGAAAAATGACCCAGTTTTTTCAACAAATAAATTATAAGGAAGACAAAAAAAGAGAAAGAGATGGAGAATTTATAGATAAGCTTAAATGACATGTTAACCAATCAATATGGGAACCTGATTTAGATTCTGATTCAAACAAATTATATTTTTAAAATGCCCCAGTTGGCTGGGCATGGTGGGTCACACCTGTAATCCCAGCACTTTGGAAGGTCAAGGCAGGCCAATCGCCTGGGGTCGGGAGTTTGAGACCAGGCTGATTAACGCAGAGAAACCTCGTCTCTACTAAAAATACAAAATTAGCCTGGTGTGGTGGCCCGTGCCTATAATCCCAACTACTCAGGAAGCTGAGGCAGGAGAATTGCTGAAACTCAGGAGGCGGAGGTTGTGGTGAGCCGAGATCATGCCATTTTACTCCAGCCTGGGCAACAAGAGCGAAACTCCGTCTCAAAAATCAATAAAATAAAATGCCCCAGTTATGACCTAGGAAGAACTTGCCCTGGCTAACAGTGAATGACACCTGTATGCCCCCAAACCCATGCCCGTTCCTTACAGCATGCCAGTGAGACTCTTTTCAGTATTTCCAGCAAGACAAGATAAAGGTGTAGACTTGGCTTTGGCCAAGCGGAGGCAAGTGGAAATTGAACACTGAGTGAATGAGTAAAAACTGTGTATATATGCACACACATACAAATATATATGTATATACAGACTGAAATACTTCATACACATATGTATGTGTGTGTGTTTTTTAATATGTGCATACATATATGTGTATACGTGTATGCATGTATATATTTTTTGAGACAGGGTCTCATTCCGTCACCCAGGCTGGATTGCAGTTGTGTGATCATGGCTGACGGCGGCCTTGAGCTCCCCAGGCTCAGGTGATCCTCCCACCTCAGTCTCCCAAGTAGCTGGGACTACAGGTGCTCACCACCACATCCGACCAATTTTTGTATTTTTTGTAGAGACAAAGTTTTGCCATGTTGTCCAGGCTGGTCTCACACTCCTGGGAAGTGACCGAGTGAATATTTGTTATTAAGCATTGCCAATGCTCTTAGATGTGATAATGATCCTGTAGTTACGTTTTTAAAATGCGTCCTTACCTTTTAGAGATACAGGCTGAAATATTTGTAGATGAAGTGACAGGGTGTCTGGAACTGGCTTCAGAATAATATGGGGAGGAGTGGGTGAGGGAACAGAAGTACGATGGGGCTTGAATTGATCATTATCGATGCTGAGCGATGGGCATGTAGGGGCTTCATTCTGTTATTCTATCTACTCTGAGTTTACATTTGAAATTCTCCATACTAAAGCACTTTAAAACAGAAGAAGCCAATTCCTGGAGGGACACGGGGAACTGCCTGAGGTTGCACCCCCAGGAAATGGAGAGCTGGGCCCCCTGCTGCAAGTCTAGGCCCCGGGCCATTCCCCCAACCCCTGCCTGGGAACTCCTGCCACGTTCTACTCTCCTTGGCTTTTCATCATCCACTGCCAGGTAGTCAGTGCCTTCATGGGCCCTGTTCCCCCTCCTTTTATGAAAACTGACTTCCATGAGTGGCTCTGTTGAAATAATTTGCATGAAATTGTCATGACTGACGTGGCTTCAGCTATTTCCGTCCTCCAAAGGTGTTTGTTCATTGCCAGAGAAAGTAGCAAAAGCAGCCCTTCCCAAGTGAGCCATGTGTTTTGCTCATGAAGCACCGTTCAGGAAGTCCTTGGCCTCACTTGCTGTTCATTCACATCAGTGCTGGGAGATGGGCTGGCTCGGGATTACTCCTCCCACTTCGAAGGACATTAGATTTGTTCATCACCATCCCCTACCCTCAGTGCCTGCCCCTGTCCATTTTCAAGACTCTGACCAAGTCTAGGCCTTTATCTTGTCTTGCTGGAAATATTGAAATAGAGTCTTACTGGCATGCTGTAAGGAAAGGGCATGACTTTGGGAGCATTCAGGTGTCATTCACCGTTAATCAGGGCAAGTTCTTAGGTCATCCTGGGGAAGCCCCTTCACCTCCCCTCTACCCACCGAGCCTTGGCTTCCTCCTCTGTGTCACGGGCACAGTGATGATGGCTGCAGAGAAGACTTGTGGGGACCCAAAAAGTGGGCAGATCTAAGTGTCCAGCACAATGACTGACATGCAGCAGGTGCACAACACTAAAAATGAAGATATGAAAGATACTGCAATACAGTCATGCGTCACGTAATGTGTTCTGAGGGATGCATCATTAGACGATTTCACCTTGAGTATATCTAGTGCCCTTAAACAAACCTAGGTGGGATAGCCTGCTGCACACCTAGGCTCTGTGATACAGACCATTGCTCCTAGGTTACAAAGCTGCACAGCGTGCTACTCTACTGGATACTGTGGCAACTGTAGCACAGTGGCATGTAATTATGTATCTAAACATATCCAAACATAGAAAAAGTGCAGGGGGCTGGGCACAGGGGCTCATGCCTGTAATCCCAGCACTTTGGAAGGCTGAGGCAGGAGAATTGCTTGAGGCCAGGAGTTTGAGACCAGCCTGGGCAATATAGTGAGGCTATAAATAAAAATAAAACTTTAAAAAGTTAGCTGTGTGTGGTGGTATAGTCCTGTAGTCCCAGCAACTCAGGAGGCTGAGGCAGGAGAATTACTTGAGCCTAGGAGGTCGAGGCTGCAGTGAGCCATAATTACACTTCTGCACTCCAGCCTGGATGACAAAGTGGGATCCTGTCTCTAAAATAAATAAATAAATAAGAGGTATAAAAATACTGGATAAAAGATTTAAAAAATGGTACACATATATGGAGCATTTGCCATGAACAGAGCTAGCAGGACTGTCAGTGCACACTGTACACACTACATTTATACAATGTTTTTCTTCAATAATAAACTTAGCTTACTGTAACTTTTTAAAAGTTTTATAAACTTTTTATTTTTTAAAAACTTTTTGACTCTTGTAATAATGTACAGCTTAAAACACATTGTAGGCCGGGCAAATTGGCTCATGCCTGTAATCCCAGCAGTGTCAGAGGTGGAGGAGGGCAGATTACCTGAAGTCAGGAGTTCGAGACCAGCCTGGGAAACA